ACATCAGTTAAATTTTGTCCACTGATTAAGCTACGATATCTTTTACCAGGTATCTCGACGCCTCGCCCGTAAGAAGGTAAGGGATCAACTAAATCCCATCGACTGTAATCCTGCAAAAGCAAGAGTTTAAACAAAAAAGAAAGTACTAAAATTGTATTCGATAATATAACTGTATAAGGATATATATATATATATATATATATATATATATATATACCTCTGAACCAAGAATGATGGCATCTTTTTCCAAGAAAAGAGTGAGATGGCTGGTAAGAGTGATGCATCCGGTGAGCCATTTGCCAGCCGGCACATAGAGCTGAGCACCGCCCTTGTCAACGAACGACTTGAGATAGAAAATCGCGTTTTGGAAAGCTACGGTATTTACAGTTTTGCCATCACCCACCGCACCAAATTCCGAAACGGAAACACTGTGAGGCCTTGGAGTCAACGGCCAATTTGACTTGCACACTCCATTGAACTCTGCAGCATTGCTCCATACCAGGAGCAAAAGCAAAACTACCTGGGATTTTTGGAAGGAAAATACGAGAATAAGTTTAATGAAGTTTGTACACATTTTTCACACTCACAATCTGCAAGAGCAAAGACTACCCTTCTAAAAGAGGTAAGAGCTGAGAAAGATAGTGTAAATAGATCTAAATATTTGCCTTATTGAGTAACAGAAAAAAAAAAAAGAACACTAGCATACTCCCACTCACAAAGAGAACTTCAGATCTAGAAACCAAATCAAATTTTTATTTTATTTTATAAACAAAATATAATAAAATGGCATCACAACAGCAAATACAGAGGGATTTCACCAAACAGTTTGGCTGCATAGACAATGTAGATAGATTCAGCAGCACAACAACTTGAAAAACAGTGAAGATCGAATCGAATTCAACATCTGAAGAATCCTCATCTTAGAAAAGAAGCTAAAAAAAATTCCCCAAAAAAAAAATCAATTGAACTGAATAAAAGCTCAAGTTAAAATGTAAACAAACAAAATCAAAATTGAATCACTCTTCAGACGAAATGGAGCTTAATTAACACAGATGAATGAAAACGATTTACTTTGCGAATGAACAACAGATGCTCAGAAATTAATTTCAAAAAAAAAAAATTGTTGATCCAGGAGAGCTGAATAAACCTTAATTGAGAAACCATAACTGAAAGAAAAAAAAATTAAAATAAAAAAATTAACGTACTTACTAGCCTCTTCATTTCTTCTTCTTCTGTTTCTTCAAACCCTCATTCAAAGCCACCAGTTCTGGAAATCTTTGACCGTACCCCAAAACTGAGAAGAGAAAGAAGAAGACGAACCGGAGAAGAAGAAAAAAAGGGACTGATTGAATGATGATGAGTGGCAATTAAGGAGAAATATTTTTATTTACTATTTTTTGTTTTTTTATTTAATTTAAAATAGTAATAAATAAATAAATAAAGATGGTAAGAGAAAGGGACAGCACATAGTAAGAAAAAAAAGACCTCTTCGTCTAACGCTTATTAAGCCGTTTATATATCGAGCTCCAAAATGGAAATTCATTTCATTTCATTTCACCAATAAATAAAATAAAAAACAGAATGAAGTGGAGTGAGTGAGTGACAAATGACAATTAATCATTTTAATTAGGGGAATTTAGTAAGCATTAATCACTCCCGTAATTTTCCCTGTATAACGGCCATTTGCCGACACTAAAATAACGGAATTTTTCTTCTTTACTTTTTTTTGTTTCTCAAACATTAATACCTAAGGCGTACTT